GGAGGCCAGCAAGATTTATGGTCGATTGTAACGCTGCCGAAATCCAAGCTGTTGAGTCTGTGTTTGAAGGTACAGTGAGCTAAAATGAAAACAAAGTGATCACTGTGGATTTTTACTCTTTTTATACATGTTGGTGTTATGATTATATATCAGTGTGCTCTCTATTCAGTCTCTTTCTACCTCTGTGCAGGCACCAAAGCGCTGCTCAGTGACTTTCACAGGGAGAAGGCATGGGACGAATGGATACAGAAGGAGCATCGAGTGGCTGACAAAGGAGATGCTCTTACAAAGCTGAAAGCGATAGCCAGCTCACTCACTACAGAGCAGTACGAGGAGGCAGTGAAGGCCCTGATGGCCAGCCACACCTGGGAACAAAATCCTGCGTTTCAGAGCTGGTTTTCAGACACGTGGTTGTCCAAAGCAAAGGTAAGCATCTGAGAAAAAAGCAGCTCCTGCACCGAGACATTTGAAAGCTGAAATTCTATCGCCACAACAAACCCTCGCTATATCTTGCTTTGTTTAAGAGATGGGTGTCTGCCTTCAAAGAAGAGACACTGAATATAGCCATCATCACAAACCATGAGACTGAACACCAGAATAAATTGTTCAAGCACAAATACCTGGAGGACTACAGGGACCGGACTTTATCTGAAATGCTGGACATCGTGACACATGTGTACATCCCTGAACTGCGGAGGACGTAAGTTTAACATTTGCACAAGCTTGTCTTCAGTGCGCACGTCATGTCAGCAAAAATAATGTTTCTCTTTCAGGTACATTGAAGCTAATGTGAGGTCATACGGACAGTGTGACTCCAGTGTCCCTCCTTTCCTGTGGGACAGACCCGCAGACGTCATTCAACACATCACGAGCTGCATGGACAGCTCTCTCTCTGAGGGACATGTGGTCAAGCTGGGCGACGGTGTGTTCAGAGTGAAGAGTGAGACACAGGAGGACCAGTCTTATGAACTGGCATTTGGCTCAGACGACAGCTTGCCCTCCTGTCAGTGCGATGACTGGAGGCGGTACAAGTTGCCATGCAAACATTTCTGTGCAGTCTTCCAGAAGGTCCCTGGCTGGACGTGGCAGCAGTTATCCCTGAAATACAGGGAACACCCGCTTCTTAACCTGGATGCCACGTGTTGCTCCATGACCCCAGACTCAGTGGACGAGTGGGGCACGGAGGTAGTCAGTGAGCCAGTAACCTGCAAGGGTAAGGTTTATCTGCGACATGAGAGAAGAACTTCATAAAAGTTACTGTCTTACCTGCACAATCATTAACCTGTTACCTCAAATTTTAGGGAGTGCAAATTTGTCTTAGTGTAACTTTCTTTGCAGACACACAAGTGACCTCTGACTGTGACAGTCCACCACGCAAGCGAGTGAGCAAGTCATATCTGAGGAAGAAATGTGTCAACCTCACCAAACAACTCATGGACAGAATATGTACCACTGAAAGCCAAGACACACTTCAGGAACTTTCTGAGACGTTAGGCAGGCTGGTGAAGGGGCTCACACCTGCGTTTGGCAGTGAGGATGGTATGCTTCATCTGGAAGCAAAGCGGGTCCGAGTTTCCAGCTGCACAGACTGAGGGTGGAACCCACAAAGTGGCTGGCCTCGAAATCATCAGAACCTCCCGGAGCCGCGCGATTTTTTTCGAACGCTAACTACGTCATCAGATTCCCGGAAAGGAAACAACCAATTACAACAAAGCAGCTACAGTCAAGAGGGCGAAGGCATGATATGGAAAAAGCACTTAAGCTTCACAATAAAACCAAAGTAGTTTTAATCAAAAATTGTGTCTCCATGAATAATGACATTATCCATGAAGAGTAGTTTCTTTACTTATTTAAAATAAATCCTAGCGGAGTCCGATGACATCACCACTGAAGCTGTTTGGTCACCACTGAGCAAAATAACAACTGACAAGCATTTATATGAGGAGCCATTATGATGTTAATGCGTAATCTATACCTGCAAGAAATGTAAGATTTTCGGATGACAGCGACAGAGTGTACTTTACTGTATAAATAAATTAGTGAAAAACCAGGCCTTTGTATTGTGTGTCCTGTTGTGTAGTGACGAATGGAGGAAGCTGCCATACAAGCTTTTATTGTGAAAATTTTCGTCTGCCTGTTCGCATCCTTTAACTCAGGCTTGACTGCGGTCTGAAAGGATTAACATGGAGCCCTCTAACAACCAGCCGAGTTCGGGAATGTTTTCAGCGTCCTTTTATGCGTTATTAGCGGGCTTTTTGGCAGCTACTGCCTCTCTGTCAGCTAAGCTGTCGCTCGGTGCGAGCTACCTGAGAGAGATGTGTGAGACGCGGCTGAGCGACTGGGATCAAACACCTGGTGGAAGCGCAGCCTGTGACTGGGTGACACTGACTCTCTGACATCTTTGTTTTTGTATTTCTACAAATACCTAATTTCCTTGGCATGGTCACACACACACACACACACACACACACACCCTCGTCTTTCACAGCAGAAAAGCGTCATATAGTTACCAGACACTTATTACTGTTCGAGTTCGGGTTACTCGAAACATTCGAGGAAGGTGTTTTGTTTGTTTGTTTTTTACTCATATCCTTGTTCAGAAATTATTCTAAAACCCCTTGATCATAATACCTCTTCCACTGAATTTATTAAAGAGTTTTCTCGTTTCCGACTACTGCTACAACAAAGATGGCAGCCAGCCGGTGTGACACCGGTAGAAAACAGTAACAACTTGGAGGAGTAATATTCATGCAAGTGATCAGAAGCCTCTTAAAGCCTCCATAAAATACCTTAAAACATTTAATTACTGTGTACTTAAAGGTTAGCTCTGACTTAAATGAATGTTAATACGAGACGAGCACAAACTGTTGCCGATTAATATGAATAATAAATTAATTCATTAATGATGCAAGCTGATAGTTTTGTTCTCAGTAACATGTACAGCATCTAGCTGTAAAACATAAGCCAAACAGGTGTTAGTATTGTCATTAATTAGGGCGTGTGCCGGTACATAGTCAAAATTAATGTGATTAGTAACAGCTGTATGATTGTTCTTCTGTATCTGTGGTGGTGGTTTAAGGTTTTTGGTCATTAACCAGGCATGTTTGTCAAAGTTTAGGCTGTGAGGTAAAAAGTATATGTTCTTCCTGGGCATGCATAGTTGGAAATGGCGAAACACTGTTTAGGAATCTGAACTGAGGATCTGCACTCAGTTCTGGTATTCAGCCAAGCCGTGACATTTTTGCTGCAGAGGGTAAAGTTATGTTTTCGTGTGTGTCTTGCTATACCTTGGCCTACAGCTCCACATCCCCCTGCGGCTGCTGTGCGGCGGCCTGCTATTCGCCTGTAATGCAGTCATGTGGACCACCTTCTCCAAGGCACTCCGCCATTCCACCTCTACAGCCAGGGCCACTGTCACGACCACTGCATCCAACTTCATTTCCTCTGTAAGCTCTCTACATATGCTGAACTAATTTGATTTTTCACACTATAACAACAAAAGGGAAACATTTTGACTTTGCATTCAACATTCAGATTACTGTTTTATATTTATAGTGAATGTTTTCTTCTTCTGTCCAGGGACTGCTAGGGAGGCTCTTCTTTGGAGAGAGCCATGCAACTCTGTGGTGGGCAGGCATCGCTCTCACTCTGTGTGGACTGCTGATGCTTCATGGTTCAGCACCTCAGACACACCCACAGGAAGCAGACAAGAAGGACAAGTAATGCATGTTGGAGTTGTTCCAAGTGCGCAGCCTCAAAACTGTTGACTGCAAAGAGCAGTTCTGTCAGGTTCTCCGCCTGCAGAATTGACTGATGTATACTTTTTAAGAGTTCTTCCTATAAGACGAACAACAACTGCCTTTTTATGGACTTTCACCTGAATTCTGATTCTTTATGAGGGGTTCCCTGGGACTTGCACAAAATCAAAAAACCCTCATATTATTATTTTTTTTTTACCTGTGTGGAAGTTGATTTTTTAATGTGTGATGCATGTATTACAAACCACACTGTGACTTGCTCTGCATTGGAAAACTGAGTGGAAATGAATATTTTTATAAATAAAATGGAAGTCGAACAAATGAGGGCACTTAAATACCACATATTTTGTGCAGAAGAACAGCCATCTCACAACCATGCTAAATTTACTCTAAAGAATTGAGAATGATTAGAAAGTCGATTGATTTGAGTTTGGCACCACCTTGTGGTACTTTTAGGGATAGCACCGGAGAAGACTGCACGCCCAGAAAATTGAGGAAGCGTTTTTTGTCGACTAGTTCAAACTAGTTGCAGCTGAATGTTACCTTACAATGCCCACAAAAGCTAGAAAGCTCACACAAAGTTATGCAAATGACCAGCTGCTGTAGTTGGCGTAATGATTAAAGGCTGGAGGTAAACATTTAAAATAAACCCTCTCCACATGGGTCAGTGACAACTACTGAACGATAAAGCCAAGCTCCAGTGTGCAGATGTGTTTTGTTCAAATTAAATTGAATGAAAATTTGGAGGGCACCGTGTTTCCCCCAGGACGATACAAACAACATGCCTGCTGTTCTGTCTGAACACCCATTTATTCCAGACCACTTAGCTGTGCCTCAGCTGCAAATGAGGTGTAATGTTTTCTCCAATTATGATACACACTTCCACCACAACAGCTGTATTTGTCTTCTGTGGTTGGCTATCATCAAAGGCATCGAAGCAGGAGAGCTGAAAGTGGTCACAGTGGAACAGAATGGAATCAGTGCAGAAAAACACAACAGGAGATAAGATGTACCACAACGTAAGGAGTGCTCTGACACGTTGATAAATGTTTTTTTCCTTTCTCGCAGTCGATTAGATGAGATGATAAGGCTGTATGAAAAAATGTTCCTATTAAGTTTTGAACTGGACTGCCAGTAGCTTTTGGTGTACAACTCAAACACTGCAGATGTATTTGCTAAAAACAAACAAATAATCTGTCACTAGATTTAAAACAAACAAACAAAAAAGAATGACCATTCATATAAGGAAGGAACCCACACAATGAGTAGATTATTAAAGCAATGTAAACATGATTAAACATAAGTGATCCCATAATGTCCAGCAGCCATTTAGCAGTTAGAAGCCCTTATCCTCCAGCTTACATACACACACAATAAAAATCCTCTATATGAAGTCATCTACTGCCCTTTTCCCCACATGTGCAATGGAGCGAGAAATATGAAAATGGCAACTTGAGACAGTCTGGAATCAAGATGAGTAATAAAACAATGTAGTGTTTCAAACATTTGCTCAGTAAAGATAGATAAGGCACGAGGTGAGCTCGAACTAGTTTCTCAGACATGGGTCAAGCCTAATCTTAGACTAAAAACCTTTTCCAAATGGAGAGTTTGTATTTCTAGGCTTAACCGTTATCTGTGAAACTGGCTGTTCAAATCTGGGGGGAAGGCAAGAAGGTTGAAAGGAACCATTTGTGCTACAGTGCTGGAGCAGAGCTGCTGTTAGTGGTGTTCTGAGGCAGCTCAGGGAGGCACTTTACAGTATTCTCTTCTCCAAACACTGAGCTGACTGAGCTTTGAGTCCTCACAGCGTTTTCCTAGAGACAAATTCAGGAAAATGCTGCAGGTTTGGCAGATTTAGTAGAGAAATATGCGATCCTTAAAATGCACATTAGACCTTCACTTATGTGTGCAAGTATTAAGCTAAGATACTAAAGTTTGATAATGGGTGCTCTGCACACCTATCAAATGGCTACACTGAAGGTAGGAACAGAAACTGTAAAATATATCCAGAAAAAAGTCCTGTACATAAAGAAATGCATACATAATTAAAATAAATTCTGGGCAGTTTTTCAACATTTAGAAAGTCCAGTTTCAAAAATATCTTTGTGCTTGTCAAGAAATCCTGCCTGTCTGCAATTTATGCTTTCCCCAGCAGGTGGTGCTAGTTGAGTGGTATCTCTATGACATCCTCCTCGATGATCTCTCCCTGGGGGATGGCGACGTGGTCCTCAGGGCTCTTCTTGCAGCTCAAGCCTGAAAAAGGGCTGCACCAGGACAGTGAGAAGGGGCCTCCGAATGCAATCTGCATGGCCTCCCAACACGGAACTTTCCCCCACTTCCCCGTCTCCCCCTTCAGCCGCTCGATCCCCTGCAGACAAAAAACAGTGAGGTTCTGAGGTGAAGGGGCAGAGAGACAAACAAAGCAAAAAAAAAAAAAAAAAAAGCACTGCATGGGATCACCTGCATGCACCATCAATGACATCCACAACACAAAACTGGTGATAGTATGTTACTATGTGATGGTTTTGCTTTTTTGTGCTAGTCCCTCAGACACTTAAACATGTCCAGCTTATTTAAAAAAATAAAATAAAAAGTCTTCAGGTTGAGGGTTTAATCATTTACTTGTCATTGCTGCCATTTATCCTGTGTGTACTGGCCAGGAAGCAAAGAACGGGACTGGCAGTGGAGCCAGCTGCTCTAATGGTTGCTAATTAACACCTAAACTGAACTGCAGCTGAGGCTGATGGGAATGTGATTACTTTTACAGGTCTTTGTTCCTACAACAAAGCACCAGAGACATATTTGGACTGGCTGACTGTCTCAAAGCACATTTAAGTCCAGCTGAAGTAAATGAGGCTTCAGTGGATGCCCTCTTGGTAATAATTTGTCAGTTTATTTTTATCCTCAGACCTTTGAATGTTACTTCCTAATCCAAACCAAGTGCCAGCTACCACAAACTTGAGGCTTAGGCTAATGCAGGAAGCAGCTTATAATACAACACCAGTAACAGTAATGATGCTTTCACCTGGCTCCCACTCAAAACATGTCAGCCTCTCTACAAGTGCTAAATCAGTCATTTTTAAGGAGTCTTGATAAATACGCAATGTCTGAGTTTTGGATGCGATTCTGGCTTTGATGTCCAATGTGTGGGTGTTGACTGATAGTAGGCACGCTCCAGCTTCAAAAATGTTTGGCATTCATTAAAGTAGACTCAATATTTGGGGTTCACGACTGCTGTCCAAACAGAAGGCACTTGAAGAGGTCACCCTGAACTTTGAGGAGGTGGGATAGGATTGTTTTTCCCTCCAGTTTGTTAGTTTTGGGGTTCATTTTAAGATGGCCAACAGTTCTGATTTCTAATGTATAATGGCAAAAAGTAACGCTGACAGATACTTCTAGAACTAATGTAAGAAGTTACTTTAGAGGGACTGTGTTCCAAGATATTAACCTAAAGCAACATGTACTCATCTGGATGCATGCTCAATCATCCAGGTTAGGAAATCCTTAAAAGTTGCTTCTGTTCATCTGGACGAAACGTTTCTCCCACTGAAAACGCTTCATCCTAGTACATGTGCATAATGACTGAATGGCGAACAATGGGCAGTTGAGTTTTTTGATCATTAATATGCAAATTTGTTATCAGCACTGATCAAAAACCATAGATCAATGGTCATGAGTACCATTCACAGAGAGTTGGGGAATGGCTGCAATCACAGCATTGTAACATGGCAGGAGGTACCGTTAAGCCCCCTCCTCGATTCATAGATGGTCGTAAATTGCCTCCTTGACTCCTGCCGGTGGAGGTTTCAGTCATTGTGCAAAGGTACTGTTTTATAAGGTGAAGTAAACCTGCAATCAGCTGACATTAAAGAAGTCACTTGGATGAGTGACAAAGCGTTTCTCCCACTGAAAACGCTCCGTCCAAATGAACAGAATCAACTTTTTGGGGCAACATGTAGTTCTGTGAGCTTTAGAGTGCTTACGGGGTTAGGCTAGCAGGTGCCCTGTTTATAGTCTTTATGCTTAGTTAAGACACTCAAGTACATGCCACTGAAGGTGGTTTTTGGGAAGTTTGTGTTTTAAATGTAAATGTAAAAAAACAACCTGAGTCTTGACAGAGTATTTTTAGTGACAGTCAAAGATCCATTTGGGTAACTCAGACGGCTGAATCTAATATTCGTTTCAACTTTGGGACTTATATTTATGCAGTGCAAACAGTGGATTTTACAGCCATCTTCTAGTGTACTGGTGCAAAGGTTGCTTCATGGCCACAAGTTACAGTTAACACTAACTGAGAAGTTAGATGACTTGACTTCTGATGAGTTTTAACAGTGTCCTCTAAATGCTTTAGGTTCCATGTTATTCAATTTGTTTTTAAAGAAACATGCCCAACATTTCATGCTGCTGTCCAAAAAGACTGGCATGCACTTCAAAAATAAACAGATGGCACATGCATCACATTACAGACAGAACTCACTCATTCATTCAAACCGTTTGGTTGAAGTAAAACAGCAAAGGAGGAACTGAAAGCACACGTCGGCCTTCTGATTGAAGCGTGCATACATGTGACATGTCAAGCTTGATGGGACGGCCAATGTGACTGCTGTTCGCAAGCTTACCTCAGTCAAGATTACAAAGGGCTGTCTGCTTCGGAAAGCTTTCGGCAGAGTGAGTTATCAACCAAAGCAAAAATGCATGAGTGAGGAGAGGACACAGTATCGGGGGGAGGAGGATCCCAGACGTGGGAGCAGAATGGAAGACAAGGACGGAGGGAAAATGCAGGATGTGAGGGCCATATAAGAACTGTGTGCACGGGGAGAAGGAGGAAAAAAACCCCAACAAAAAACCCACATCTGCTCCGGTATTACTATTTGAATATAAAATAAAGGGACAGGCAAAAGTAAATAAATGCACCTCCACAAAGGAAGCAAACACAGTTGTTGCATTGCATCTGAGAAGATTTTATTCTCTGTGCATGTGCTGAAATCTCTTCAGAATATTTAGAAAGAATTAAAATTTCTGTAAAAATAACAAAACAATAATAATAATCTCTGCCGTCACTCAGCTGCTTCATCATACCAGCAGTGTTTCACATACACATTTAAACTAGCCTTCAGCTGTACCATGCATTCAAAAACAAAGGATACACACAATATCCTGTAAACAAAGAATAGAAGAATAAAACCGCACACTTTGGAACAAAGCAGTTCACCCAGGAGAAAATCTCAAATGATAAATACAAAGAAATACAAAGTGAAATTAAATCTTCTTTTTTAACGACTTTAAATTGGATAGTGAATGTTAATACCTCGGTTAAATGCTTTGTAGGCTGGCGTGGTGCAGAAATGAATATTCTAAATCCACGTCTTCTCTTTACCTCCGAACACGATTTTATACATTTCCGGCAGCGAAGAGGATTTTAAACTGAAGCCAGTGTCCCTTCAGAGCAAATTCATATCAAAGGGTTCCCAAATAATCGCAGAATTGTGGGTTTTATTGAATTTGGCACACGCTCACAACATCAAAACACCACATGGGCTCAGAGCTGTGATTCACTGGCACGTATTCATGCAAACAGAGTGTTAGTGGGAGGCTACTGTAGGAGGCTAAACCTTTCTTATAAAAAAAAATAACACAAAAAAAACCCCAACAACATAAAAAACAAAATCCAGAATGAACATATGTTGACAGACTGTCAGCATCATTCTAACCCACATGTTTTTCCTGCTTAAAGACAGGCTGAGGTCGACATCAGTCACCTTTGAAAGGCTTTCCTTTTCCTTCCTTTAGCAGAACTCAGACTGCCAGCTTAAACACTGAGAATCTGGATCTGTTTGCTGGAACAAACAGAAACCTCCTGGTTTGTTTTAGCCAAAAATAAGATGCATTTCTGTCTTCCAAGAGGCTTTGTTTTTCTTGAGCATGTATCGGAGAGGAAACAGGGACAATGTTGTAGGTGCTAAAAATCACTGAAAACATGATTAGGCTGCAGCGTGACTTTTTGGTCTTTTTTGTTTAATCACAGAGATCCTCCAAAATGGACTTTCAATAGCTGATCAAGGGTCAGCTACTAAATCAGACCTAATTTGCTTTGCTTTTCCTTATTTTGAGCCATACTTTGTGTTATTATGCTGGGTGCTTATATTAAATAAGTTTCAAATAATGAGGTGAGACTTCAGACTGCTCTAAACTCAGTTTCAAACAGTTTGTTCTGCGCTTTCCTCTGTTTGATGTCAAAGACAGAGGATCTCTCTAACATGGCTCTCTGGCTCTGACTGTGGACACAGAAGCTCCATCCAACTCAAACATTCTTTTTACAAGAGGCAGCCAATCAGAATATAGTTGGTTTTGAGAAAGGGCTGCCTCAAAGGTAGGGAACTACACCACCTCGTTTCAGATGAGCACAAAGGTCCCTCACAGGATAAATAAAGATTACTAGCTTAGCTTTGCATGATTCACAGTTTAAAGAAAACAGAGACCAAGAATGGAACTGTGGAGCTGGGAATGAGCATAACAAGTCCACTTTAAATATTCAGTACATCTGCTATCCTTTAGTCACAGCAGGCTATCAGCTCTGCTTTTTGGTACCACTGCGATCCCTTGCCTCGTGTAGTCTTACATTAATGAGAGCCCAAACGGTTAAATGCAGTGTAATGTGCAGGTTTTTACATGATGAGATAACAGAGCTCTGTTTTCAAAACTGCTTTCAACTCCACCCTGAATGTAAGAATGAGACAATCTGAAAGTCACTGCTAACAGGGAAGAAAAGGGATCCATTTGGAAAATTAGAACTCTCATCACAAACATAACAGACCAAAAGTCTTTGGATTAACTTTTGTCCTAATAATGACATTTTTAAAAAATCTCCCAAGAATGAAAAAAGTGAATCAAAGAAGAGCAAAAACACTCAAAGGTAGAACATACATAGAAACTACAAGAGCGCCACCGTTGTGAAGTTCTCATGGCTGGGCTTACAGTGCTGCGTCCCCATTGGTCAGCTACTTTTAGACAACAGTCAGTGATGCACAGATTCAACAAGCAGTAATACCTTCTAATGTCAACAGCAGTCATAATAACATCTCAGTTAGGACAGACCGAGGGACAGCTCATTCTCTAATTAATGGAGTTTTACTTTCAGTCCACTGACATGTTCATCTAAGTGTAACTAGCCCACACGAGAGCTTTGTGTCAGAAATGGGGCTGAAAAAAAGACCACAGAGGAAAAGTCTGAACCCAGAAACAAAGGTGAAGATTATCATAACCAAATGGAGCACTCTATGTAATTCTAATGTAAATTCTTTTTTAGAATTGTTGTGTTTTGCTTTCACTTTCTTTGCATTTGATTCTTGAGAGATTTTTTTCAGTAACTATGAAAAATCCCACTGTAACAAAGGCAAGATGTTGATGTGCTATGTACAGCACTATAACAGAGGGTCGGCCTGAGCGTGGGTCTGATTACTGAATGGTTCAGACAATCCATTCCTGAGTAGACCCATTTAAAAGCTTTATCCAGTCCATGTCTGGAACACACTGACATTGAGTAATATTTAAAAGGGTCAGTTCATCTAAAAAAATCCACCAAGCTCTCTACTGGCATCAGAATAGCTAATGTGGAATTACAGTAACTCTAACCCTGATGTGTGATTTTAATATAATCTGGAGACCTGCAGTTTCCAGCCAGTTTTACCCTAAAATGGTCCTTAAAATGTCCTAAAACTCAGTGCTTCGCCAGTTTATGAAGCATTTTTGTTTACCTTATACATCATTTCCTATTTTCACTGTAATGAAATTAGCTGGCAATTACAGGAAATACACAATACCTGCTTTTTCTTTATAATTTAGCTGAACTAACCCTTTAGGGAGAAGCAAAAAGGAAACAGTAAGAAGAGAGAGGGGCTTCTGATAGAGGAGAAAGAAAGCAGGTCAGAAACAAACAGATCCATCACAGTGTTTGCAAACACGACTGTAAAGTGTTTCTTTTTCTCTGCAACTCGACTCACTCAAGGCAACACAAAAATAAAACGTATAGAGCACTTAGTTGGCAACACAAAAAAAGCACATGAAAAGCTGTCCATTGCTAATGTGGGATATACAGTGTAAATCGCGTTGAGCTGTGTGTGTGTGTGTGTGTGTGTGGGGGGGGGGGGGGGTGCAGGCCTTCCCACTTTGGTTTTGATCACTCCCTGTGCTGAGCCTTCACACCACATATTGGTAGGTCTCAGCCTTCCCGTGGTCGGGGGTGGAGAAAGGGCTAAACCACAATATGGAGAAAGGGTGTCCGAATACCGCCCTCATGTTCATCCACTTAGTTTTTTTAGCCCATCTTCTCTCTTCCTTTTTCAATTGCTCTATGCCCTGAAAACGAGAGACAACCAAACTTCAGTTGGTGTGCTTTTGCGGCCCAGCGATCACAGTAATCACAAACTCCAAATACCCATTTCTGTATTAGAAAGATAAAAATAAGATCATCGGGGGCTGCACGTCAGGCGCTGCTGAATTAGGACAGTGGAGAGCCGATGTTGTGCCCTTCCCTTGTGTGTTGCACAGTCCTGTGTATGCTAAAGCCCTCTCTTCATAATAAATAAGGTCTGGAGTTGCAGACAAAAAGAAGTTGAAAACAGGGAGAGTTTGGTTTGGTGAGCTATGCTTCCCATGCACACAGGCGCTGTGTGCTTGATTATTTCAGCTCCAAACTTGAGAAGACAGAGATTCCTTCTTTCGCTGATACACTGACAAACGGACCTTTATTATAAAATTGCATACAGGCCTGCCCTTCATTAGACTCACCACCAGGGGGCAGACTACTGGTAATGAGCAGGTGTAAAATCTGGACTCTGCTCAGCAGTTTAACTGGTAAACTTTTTTTTTGCATGTGTGTTTTAGTCTCCTTTATTAAAGTGAGCTAGCCAATGCACACAAAGCTGCGTGCACTATTTTGCCTGTGAAAAGTTGTGACTTTATTCAGTTTAACTAGCTCACCAAAGACAGAGTGAGAGAGAGAGCTTATATAGTTGGGGTAGTAACACTGGGAGAAGGATGAGGATGGATGTATAGATAAATCAGGCTAATGAACCTTTTGTTACACGAGACATCTCCACAACAGAAAGAAGCACAGGAGTACAGAAGTACTTGATTTTGTATCACATTAATCCACAAGTCTGGAAAGGACTGAGATGTTATGAGTTACACCTGCACTTTTCCTGCTGAGTCTAAATGTCTCGTGTGAGGAAAGGTCCTATTTACAGATTGATACTGCAACAGTGACAGCCACAGTTGCCTCATACTTTAAAAGACAGTATGAATTAAACATTGGCAGGTTGGAGTTGAGGCATTGTTATTGTCACTCTGCCATAAAAAAGATGGAAAAACAGCCAGTAGGAGGTGACTTCCTTTGGTTGCAAAAACAAATCAGGCTCTACAGAAGTCTATGATCCACCTCTGCAATTTCTGATATGATGGTAGGTGTAACTCAAATTATTTGCTTTTAAGGCACTTAAGGTTGAAGTTCTGCTGCAGAGTAAGAGACGTCAGCTGATGTTTTGAGACGTTAAAGATATTCATGTTAAAAGAAGTTGAGAGTTGCAGCAGCAGGGAGAAGTCCTGAAGCACAGAGGAGTTAAAAGGAGGTGGTTAACAGGATGGTAAACTGGGTCACTTACGGTCTCGTCGGTACAGATGGAGTGGACTTGGGTGCCGAACATCACAGAGGTGAAGATGAGGAAGAGGAGGCCCTCAAAGCACAGGAGTATGAGGAGGATGACTGTTGCTGGAGGAGAGAAGGTACTGCACTCTGGGGGAATGGGAGGGAGGTGGACACAGGGAAGTGAAAGGGCAAAGAAGAGATTCATAGAGGAACTGCTGCACTTCTATCAAAAAACTACTGCATCCAACTGCAGCTCTACAGTGACGATGCAAAGCTAAGTATGAGCTTAGGTCAACTTCTTAAAGACTATTGTACGGGATCAGGAAGTTACGGCATCAGTAACTGGAAGGAAAATAAATGTCACAACAAAGAAGTAGAGACAAGATGTACTCATGTCAACAATATTTCATATTTTCATTTGTCCTAAGGAGTTGCAAGCATTGCCATATAATGACACTTATAGTGGCAGGACATAAATATCTGTCTGATGGCCCAAAATGATCCTTTCCTCTAGCCTGTGGTCTGATGTATGTCCAGATTGTTTAGGTTTCAGTTGCTTGGTTTTATCACCAATAGAAATGCCTGCATTCTCTTGAATATTATGGACCTAAATAGCAATTGCATTGACAAACTAAAAGCCCACCAAAAAAATCATTTGAAAGCTCAGCAACAAGACCTCTTTCCTCATGACGCGGTTATTCCATAAACCTTGTTTATAGATAAGAATCCTTGATTATGGATAAGAAGTTGTGGATTTTTTTTTTTTTTTGCAGTGCCTGGGTCATAACTTTGGAAACTAAAAAAAGCCAACATTTTCAAAACTGGGCAATTCACATGGAAAAAAATGTAGCTGGACAAACACCACTATAGACCAGAGGGAGAATGTGCAACTTTGATTTTGTGTTGTATGTAGATGCAGTGGGCTAGGATAGGCTCCAGCCTCCCAGCACCGCTGAATAGAATAACCGATAGAAAGTGGATGAAGATCATATATGTATACGGATCAGGCACAACATTATGAGCATCTGCCTAATATTGTGTAGGTTCCCTCGACAGATGTGCTGTGGTATCTGTTCTGCAAGATGTGAGGTGGGGCCTCCATGAATCAGACTTGTTTCTCAAGCACATCCCACAGATGCTCGATTGGTTTGAGATCAGGGGAATTTGGCGTAGCTCATCTACTGACCACACGAGCCAGCCTGTGCCCCCCTTAGATGAATTGCAATGATTTTCGTGGCTGTAGAAGGCGTTTCTGTTTTTTTATCCCCCATTTATGTAAACAGGATGGGATAAACACAAGAACAGATATATGGTCCTTTAAGAAATGGAAACTAATGTGAAGAATATTGTAAGATGGTTATGTATGTAAATACAAAATATAAAATCAAGCAAATTACTTTTTTGACTGTCATGTTTGAGGGAAGATGTCTATTTACATCTAGAGCTCTGTTCTTTATGTGTTTGCAGGCTAAAGAGAACTGTAAAAAAAGGAAAAAGCACTTACTCGTCCAATCATCTTCAAAGCAGTAGAGGAAATGGAAGACCACCATGACCAAAGCGTGGAGAGAAGTGAGTGCAATGTACATCTGGGTTAAAAAAGAAAAATGAGAAAGTGGATACAATGAGCAGGAACTGACAACACAGGCTAACCACAAACAGACTGGCATTTACCAAGAAACGGCTCCATTTCTATAGCAACAACTGGTGACTTTATGATTGAAAATCATGTGACAGGCGTAACCTTCAGGGTGTTTTTTCATCAATTTACAGACTAACAGTGGACTTACTGTGAAAAGCACAAAGTACTTTTGGTTGTTCTCTCCAACACAGTTGTTGACCCAGGGACAGTGGTGGTCCATCTTCCGTATGCAGCGTTTGCAAACACTGTAAGAGAAGAAATTCAACTGAAAACCAGGATCAAAACGTTTTGTCAATATACAAAGAAACTAAAAGACAACATGAAATATGGGATAAACTGAAAAAAAATGAAGGTTTTTAATGCAAATACTAAAGTTTAAGGATTTACATTCTCTGCATTTGAGCAAACAGGAAGCTGGTGGTAAGGCTAGTGCTAAAGCTGGGTGTTCTGTGCAAACAGCGAGTGTTTGGAAATCATTACTGGATTTCCTGAGAAGATTTAATATGTTGCTTTACTGCTTTGTGACTACAATCATGCCTATGAACACAATTACAATATAAAGGCCCGATAAGCTATACTATTCTATGTGTGTTTGTTCATCACCTATCGCAACAAGAATTCACTGAATCCACTTCAGTAGTTGGTACTGACAGGAAACTGAGTACCGGTAAGAGCAGTACTGAATTTGAAGTTGTTTAGTTGAGCTAAGGTTGTTCTCTCTTACTAGTATATTCCTTCTATATACACCCCCAAGGCTACATGCAGCTCACATGAGGTAAATGGGAAATTAGGATGCAAACCTATATAAGTATATATCATGCAGTTTGATGCATTCTAGCAACCAAATGCTGTCGGGTAAGATTCCCATTTGAGAATGACTTAGGTTTTAGCAGTTTTGTGGGAAAACACAATATAACTTTATTGGTTTTATTTTGAAGGGAAATGCTGTTTTTATTTTAAATGCATGTACAACGATGAACCAAACCATTAACTTATGTGAAAGCAGTTGTTGAAACTAGGATAAGAAGAGAGGTGAGGATCAGTGAGGGGCAGTGTGGCTTCATGAAGAAAAAGAGCACTACAGATGTGACGTTTGCTTTGAGAGTGCTGATGGAGAAGTATAGAAAGAGTCAGAAGGACCTCCACTGTGTCTTTGTGAAACTAGAGAAAGCAGAAGATAGGGTGCCAAGAGAGGAACTGTGGAACTGTATGAGGATTTCAGAAGATGGAGAGATGTGAGGGTGGCTCAAGACATGCCTGATCAAGCCTGGACTAAAATGTTACCAACTAACAGGTGTTACAAGTGATTACTATCCAAATCTGACAGAGAAAAAAATGTGGGCGCTTTTAAGCAGATGTAAGACAAAGTGACTGAAATTGTTATTTTTGTAGTGTATTATATACCAGAAGATACTGTGAAAGTCAGGGCTAAAAATTAACCCTGTTAATGATGTAATCAGGGAGAGAACACTGAATCACAATTAGTTGCACACTGTTTGATTGAAAATGGTGACATAGGCTACCACAGAGCTGTCAAGTGACTCATACAGGGCAAAGTGATGAAGAGTGTGAAGAATGACCACACGTAGACACACTGTTTGGGTTTATTTCCTCTTTTATTGCTGACACGCACTACTGACAGTCTCTCTGTCTGTTTCCTCGGCTCGGCACCCACAGGTGCAGCTTTCAGCCGCATTCTGACCTCTCCACTCTCTGCCCCGGTTTCACTAAAATTCACACACCGAGAGAGAGAGATCGTTAACTAAAAACTTCACACACCTATGTCACAAACCACCACGGCATTGCCCCGTGATCTCACTGCACCACCCCTCCCCTGCAGCTGAGCCAGGGACCACACCTCTGCCACAAAGGGCATGGGAGCAGAAATTTAAGAGTTTTGGAGAAAGAAAGGTAAAGATATTTTAGAGGTCTGAGATGCAGATAGAAGAGAAATCCTGAATATCCTGAATTAGATCACGCTAATGCATGATCTAAACACCAAATCGAAAAGCAAGGCCCTACATGCACATAAAACATAAAGCCCGGTAAAGGCCTTCATTTGAAAGTTGCAGTTTCTTTCAAGCCAACTGGAGAGCAACATTCTTACTCACATGCAAACAGAGAAGATGTTGGTTCTCTTTGGATCTACTTTGATATGTGAACAAACTCAGTGAAGAGGTTTAACAAATGCAAATACAGAGCTTCTCTCAGTGATCATCACCTGTCCACTATCCTTCACATTTCCAAACACTGAACCTGACTTCAACAGACTTGTTCAAGCACAAAACAGCCTATATTTCTCTCATTGAACAAGAAGAATTGAAATTGCAGGGGAATTCAACTACAGACACAATAGCAAAAGTACTTTATACAAAGTCGTATTTTATTCAATACGATTTTGTTTTAGGTATGTGATAAAGTGCTTTTTATTTTTTTAAATAATTGTTTTAATTGTTTTTCTTTATTTTCATGACTATTTACATTGTAGATTCTCACTGAAGGCATCAAAACTATAAATGAACACATATGGAATTATGTAATAAACAAAAAGTGTGAAATAACTCAAAATATGTTTTATATTTTTCAAAATAGCCACCCTATGCTTTGATTACTGCTTTGCACACTCTTGCCATTCTCTTGATGAGTTTCATGAGGCAGTCACCTGAAATGGTTTTCCAACAGTCTTGAAGGAGTTCCCAGAGTTATTGAGCACTTGTCTTTTTTGCCTTCACTCTACAGTCCATCTCATCCCAAACCATCTTGATTGGGTTTAGGTCAGGTGACTGTGGAGGCCAGGACTGTGTGTTTGGGGTCATTGTACTGTTGAAAAATAAATGATGGTCCAACTAAACACAAACCGGAACGGAGTGGCATGTATCTGGGCTCTAATCTGAGGTGCTGTTAACTTGCGGTTTCTGAGGCTGGTGACTCGGATGAATTTATACTTAGCAGCAGAGCTCACTCTTCCTGGGGCGCTTGATGGTTTTTGGGTACACATTCAAAGATTTAGCAGTTTTCTGGACTGACTGACCTTCAGTTCTTAAAGTAATGTTAGATTCTTACTTCTCTTTACTTAGCCGATTGGTTCTTGCCATAATATGAATTCTAACAGTTGTCAAATGGGGCTGTCAGCTGTGTACAAACCTGACTTCTGCACAACAAAACTGATGGTCCCAACCCCATTAAGAAGGAAAGAAACGCCACAGATGAAGCCTGCTAAGGCACACCTGTGACGTGAAAACCATTTCAGGTGACTACATCATGAAGCTCACTGAGAGAAGGCCAGGGGTTTGCAGCGCTCTCAACAAAGCTAAAGGTGGCTACTTTTGAGTAATCTAAAATATAAGACATTATTTTTATTTGCTACATAACTGCGATATCTTGCTTCTTAAAGTCGATATCTTCAGTTTGTATCTACAATGTAGAAAGTAGTAAAAATAAGGAAAAACCATTAAATGAGAAGGTGTGTGCAAACTTTTGACTGGTAGGGACACACACACACAAATGTTTATTTGGCTATCTTTGTGAGCGTATTCATTCACAATGTAACCTCTGCTCCCTAACTGTAACCATCAGGTTAAGCCAAACCTTCGTCTGAACCTAAACCTAATTCTAAATTTAATCCAAAAACAAACTCTTAACCTTCAAACAGGCTGAAAATGTCATCATTCTGAAACTACAACAGAATCTCACAAAGGTAGCACCCTGTATTTTATATGCTTTTATTGTAACTGTCTGTTACTTTATTTAGTCACTCGTGTTGCTTTATGGATTGGTTCTAAAAAACAAACAAACCACAACATCTGCTTTTTAAAAACAATCACACCCAAACACATTCAACAGTGTATTCTACAACTAGTTCTCTTTTCAAACTTGCCTGCATGTGGCCTGCAGGCCAAATGCAGGGTAAATGTAAATAGAGCCTGACCAATATATCACTACTTTTATTATAGGCAAATATTTTAGTGTCTGCATTTGTATGTGTTTATAGCAGCCAGTAAATGAGAAGTAAGCAATAGAAGGGAAAACACCCTTCATCTGTGTTAGAGGGCTGATGTTGCATACTTTGACCACCAGAGGGACTCTGATCCGAGGACAGTGTGGCACAGTGTAAACAAGTAATCCCCAACTTGATGTGACAATAAAACCTATTTTTAGAATCCGCTGTCATATTATCTTAGTGAGGAATCATAAGTAGCTACACACAACAAATGTTCTGGAAATCTGTTTATACTTAATAGGTAAGAAAGAAAAAAATATCACCCGATATCAGATGTTTAAATGAACAAATAATGGTATTTGTCTCAAAAATCCTGTATCGGTTGGGCTCTATCTGTAAGCTGCAGCTAGAAATAAGTAACCTCGGTCACTCCCTCCGAGAATGGGAATTGCACCAGTTTCAGGATTTATGAAAGGTTAAAATTGGGGACGTTACTGCACTAAAGCGATGCATAGGACTAAGTTTGTGAATGTCAAATGCGGCAGTGGGAATTTCGCATCCTTTTTGCCCTACCTGCAGTGGTGTGCTCGGTCAGGCTTGATGCTGCAGCACTTGGGACATTTGTAGACCACCTGTCCTGGTTTCAGTTGAAGGCTTTCTATGTACTCCTTGGTGGCGTTTCCTTTTGGCACGGCCCCCTAGCAGGAAACATGTACATAAAGTAGATGACTTTAGTTATATGTGCAGCTCATTAATCACCATAATGGTCATTTTATTAAATGTCTGCTACATTAATCAGAACTTCATAAAGCTAAAGAGCATTAAGCGTCAGCATGACATTGAGAATTAAAACAATTCGTATGCATGAATAATCCAATGCAACCTGACTTACAGGGTCAGTGCACATGGCCCTGAGGTGAGAGGCGAGGGCAAGGAAGGCCAGAGTGTTGAACAGAGTCCCGTTCACAATACTGTACATCAGGTTCTTGGAGGGCAACAGCATCACAAACAACACCACAAACTCGGCGTACAAGACCAGCAGCCAGGTGATGATGGCACACACAATGCCGCAGGCATCCCTGATGAACCACATGGCCGAGGCAGAGGAGGAAGTGATGACGTCTTTGGAGATGGGGATGCGCTGTTCCTCCTGTAGGCAGCTGGTTCCTCCCCCAGCCCCAGACTGTCCACGGCTATGCTCCACATCCCTACATCTGTGCACCGGGCTCTTCATCCTTCATCTAAGCTGGATTCCTGCTCCTACTGCCACCAATGGACCCACAGTGCCTTCAGGCCTCCGCCTTAGTCACCGCATGCTAAGAAGTGAGGATGGTTCAAAGATTAGGTACACGAGCTGAAGGTTTAAAAAAAACAAACAGACACAAAAAGAACAAAAACTCAAAAAATTTAGCCGCCAGCTGTCAGGTCAGTTTTATAGTGCAGGCAGTGACTGGTTCAGTCTTTCACAGTGACTGTTTTTTTTGTTTTTTTTATCTTCTTCGTTTTTTTTATTTCGCTATTATATAAAACTAACACCACATCTTATTTAAAGTTAATTTGTAAGTTTTCCAAAATGCTACAATGATTAAATGATCTCAGATGTCTAGGCACTGTGGTGGTGGTTGTACCCTTTTGTTTAGCTCTGAAATACTTTTTTCCCCCCCACAATCCGTCATGACATGATCTAAACAATTTGTGGAATGAACAGAACCTCTAAACATCATCTTAAATACGTATTTTGTTAAATTAACTTGTATTTGGGAAAATTACAAGTTAACTTTTTCAAACTATGACTTCTTCACCATGACTTCTACTGCTGCAGGATGCATTACAAAACTGATATTGAGTATTTTCCTGGATATCAGTATCAAGTTTCAAATTCTAATATTGTGAGAACCCTAGTATCTATCTCCTCTTCTTTACTTTATGAAATTTGATGTATCAGCTTACATAAATGCCAATAGTGATAACTCAGCAAATAGCCAATATCAGCTTGTTATTAACTTTTTTAAGCTCTAACAATTAGAAAATATTACACATATACTAAAAATTCTATTTCTCCAAAAATCAGATCACTACCGGAGCCTTGATATTTTCCTTTACATTTCTAACCATTAAAACCTAGTGTATGCGCAATTTGGTGTTATCAACTAATCACTGAACAATGAAATGTGAGCTTTGCACATGTGCAGTGTTACACCTGGAATGACACTGCAGATTTTTGACAAACCCTTGTGTTACAAGAAATGTCAGTTGAACCGAACTTTCTTGTTTGCCGTGACTGGGTATGTGGGCAAATAAATTGTCACAAAAACTATCAACACAGTTCTTTTGAGCGTGTTTGCAACATTACTAGAGGAAAGAGGCATAAGAGTTTGTAATCAAACATTCAGACGGCACTCAGGAATCCTCTACATGGTGGATGTTCTTCTACGGACACCACAGGATTCTTCAGCCGTCTCCTCAGAAGTGAAAGCTGGCCAGCTGCATGACCGAGCTTTGTCTCTGCACTCAGCTTTACACAACCTGGAGCTCCACCAAACACACGAAATGTCTGGTGAGTGAGAGGTCACTGAAAGGTAGTAAACTGTTATCGTGACCTAATGCAACACTTCTCCATTCAAGACCCAATCCTCGTGTAAGTTACAGCTGGATAAGGGGATGATGTATATGACCTGAGTGAAAGACAGTAGTATAGCTGTCAAAGTACATATCGAGCAGTCACCTTAAAAATGTGGCTCGATGGTTCCCTAATTATCCTGTTTTCATGGGCGAAGGAGTTACGATTTCGCTGCCATGTGTGTAGCAGCTTTACCTTCAGCCACGTAAGAGCAATAATACCGGGCTAATAATGTAACATTATTAAAATCTATTGAAGACTACTCTACTGCCTGTTCTAATTCAAATCAATAAGGTAGTGAAACATGGAAAGCGGGTTTAACAGCGAGCGACACATTACCGTCAGCCCATTGCTAGCTAATACTAGCTACGTAGCTACCATATCAGCGTAAGCGTCTAAGTTTTCTCATATTTATAAAACAATCCTTCCGTTTACCTGCAAACCAGGAGGAATCAAAGAGCGCGTCAATGCCTTCACCTCATTGTAATGATCATTATATTCCACTGAATCTCACCTGAACGATGCGCATCCGCCGGTGGCTTTCTACCCTGCTGCTGTTTGGTTACCCACTCGACGCCGTGCTCCCGCCCCTTCATGATGACGTCGTGGCGTAGAAGGCAGCGAATGGAACCACGATGAAGTTTTACGCGTCAGAGGACGCGTCCAAGACGCACCTATTTCTGGTATCTGCCTCAGTACCAAGGCCGAGTATTTATTAAATCATTTTTAGATAAGAAAAGCGGAGAGTGTAGCACAACAAGAAGGACGAAACACAGTCTACAGGAAACAGCACACAAAGGCTAATGACATTCTGTAGTGGCATTTAAATGCACGAAGGGGTGTTAATTGAGGGACGTTGCAGGTTTATCTGATTCAGTTCCAACTATGTGCTGGATCCAGACAAAATGAAGATTTAAGCATAGTCTTAAAAGTGGAGAGAGTGTCTCTCTCCTAAACCCAAACTTAGAGCTGTTTCAACAGAAGAGGAGCTTGATAACAGAGGAATCTGGCTGGCATTTTACTTATAGAAACTTAAGGAATCACAAGGAAGCCTTTACTTTGAGAGTGAAATGCTCCAATAGGATAATTATACTATGAGGTCTGATCATTCATAACTTTGTAGTTCTTGGATTTTAAACTTAATTCTGAGTTTAACAGTGTGTCAATGAAGACAAGCTAATATGGGAGAACATATTGTGCAAACACATAAAAACTGATGGTCTCAAGGCTGTAAAAATAAAGCCAGAAATCCTATCACTTACCTTTTTTAAAAAACATTTAAGGTAATGGTAAGGTTCTGACTTTAGTACACTAAACAACACACTTCTGTTAAAGCTGGACTACATATGAACATGTGTTACAATCAAGTTATAAAACAGCAAGTTCACATAATGCTGATTAAGCTAATCAGAAGAAGACAAATCTCCTGGAATTTTGCAGTCCACCAAAGTTTTAAATCTGCTGTTGTGGCTGCTAGTAACACGTTTTACACTGGCCAGGAATAATGGGTTTGCCAAAGGTGACTGTGAGTCAGAGAAATCCTGCTTAAAGTTTTTCATGCTCCATTACAAATTACAGTAAATAAAAGAAAAGAAAAACTATTCCATGTAGGTAAGATATGAGAACACGTCTTTGTAATTGCTCTCACCCCCTGTAGTTTGGTGGCTCTATGGGTGCAAGTTTCACTCAAGCACAATGTTTGGCAATAAGGTTGTTGGACATCCTGCATAACTTTTAAATACATTCTTATTTTAATTTTTTTTTATTAACTTTTCTATCTAATTGATTTTGATTCAAGATTCAAAGTGTGTATTGTTATATGTCATAAGAGAAAAAGGCATTTCTCTGTGCAATGAAATTCTTTCTTTGCTGTCCACCCACAGACGGCGATTAATATATACAATAGAAATAGAACATATAAATACAATAGTACAAATAAATAAATAAACGAAGACAGAAAAGGAGACAAAATGTGGAGATGTGAAACAGAGATGTATGCAAAAGAGCTTAATATGCTGGCTTAATATGCAGGATGACCTGATGTGCAAAAAAAATTATTATTACTGTTCAAAAATAGGTCGGCTGTTCAAGAGTCTGTTTGCAGTGTGGAAGAAGGAGTTGTTGAGTCTGGATGTTCTGGATTTCACACTTCTGAACCTCCGTCCTGAGGGCAGAAGCGTGAACAGTCCGTGTTAGGGGTGTGTGGGGTATTTGAGGATGGAGGCAGCTCTCCTCTGGACTCTGCGATGGTAGATGCTCTGCAGAGAGGGCAGCAGAGTCTGGATGATCTTCTCTGCAGTTGTTATCACTCTCTGCAGGCGTTTGTGGTCCATGCCAGTAGTGCTGCTGTACCATGAAGTAATGCAACTGCTCAGTGTGCAGCTGTAGAACCTTCCTCACCCTCCTCAGGAAATACACCAGCTGTGTGGTGTTCAGTGTCCAGGTGAGGTCCTCAGAGATGTAGACGCCCAAGTACCTAAAGCTGCTCACCCTCTCCACTTCTAGGCCCCAGATAAACAGCGGCTGGTGAGGCGTCCTCTTCTTCCTCGTGTCCACTATCATCTCCTTTGTCTTGTCAGTGTTGAGGGTGAGGTTGTTGTCCTCACACCATGACACCAGACCTGCCAACTCCCTCCTGTAAGCCGCTTCGTCCCCTCCAGTGATGTGACCGATCACTGCAGTGTCGTCCGCGAACTTCAAAATGATGTTATCTTTGTTGGAGGTGACACAGTCGTGGGTGTACAAGGTGTAGAGGATGGGACTGAGGACGCAACCTTGTGGAACGCCAGTGTTTGTAATAATGCTGGCTGAAGTCCTGTTGCCGATCCTGACGGACTGGGGCCTGCCAGTCAAAAAGTCCTGTCACATAGGGTTAGGTGCAGGCCGAGTGTTGCCAGCTTGTGAGTGAGTTTGTGTGGGATGACAGTATTGAATGCGGAGCTGTAATCAACAAAAGTACCCTGATGTTTGAGTGATGTAGGTCTTATTCGTCCTCTTCTGTGTTTGCTTGGGTTCAGACTGACAGTCAGAGTGCAATGAGTTCTTGATCCTGTCTGTTATCAGAGAGCTTTTCTGTTTTTATTGAGGTGAAGCAAATGTGCATGTGTTGCCTACTCATAAAGTAATAGTCCCTTTTACCGACTACGTCATCACTGTTTATAAACTGTAAAAGGGCCTATTAAAAATGTCATCCTGAGATTAGCTAGAAACTAGCAAACCTGCTTGAGTGAGAAGGGGAGGTAGGTTGGATGAGCATAAAGAACACCTGCATGTACAGGGTGGGCCATTTATATGGATACACTGTAATAAAATGGGAATGGTTGGTGATATTAAAGTCCTGTTTGTGGCACATTAGTATATGTGAGGGGGCAAACTCCTCAAGATGGGTGGTGACCATGGTGGCCGTTTAGAAGTCGGCCATCTTGAATACAACTTTTGTTTTTTCAATAGGAAGAGGGCCATGTGACACATCAAACTTATTGGTAATGTCAAAAGAAAAGCAATGTGCCACAAACAGGACTTTAATATCACCAACCATTCCCATGTTATTACGGTGTATCCATATAAATGGCCCACCCTGTATTATATTTACAGTGTTGGGAAGGTTACTTTTAAAATGTATTCCACTACAGAATACAGAATACATGCCCCAAAATGTATTTTGTAATGTATTCCGTTACGTTACTCAATGAGAGTAACGTATTCTGAATACTTTGGATTACCTAATATATTATCATGCTGTTTACAACTACATGAATGTGATTTATTGCTATTACTGAAGGTCCGCAGCTCCGAACCATAATAAAGGGACCTCTGGCTAATATGTCGGGTTCCATGTCAGGCTCGTAGCTGAAAAATAACTTTACTTTGTTGTGTGGGTCAAGTTTGCTCGTGAGAGACAGAGAGAGGCTCTCTCCTTGGAGAGGCTGCTCCAACGGAACTTATTGTTTCGGAGGAAAACACGAACACAGCGTACAGTCGAGTTTTAATAGCTTACTTACAACTGGGCTCGTCAGGCACTCTTTGTGGCTGCAGTGGTTATTATTATATTTACATGCTTCCAGCTCCCGTTTCTGCTCGATGACAACTCAGAGTTTTCCTTTTTCTCCCTCCTCGTGCTCACAGACACATAACGGGTATCAGTGTTGGGGAGTAACGGAATACATGTACCGCCGTTACGTATTTAAAATACAAAATATGAGTAACTGTATTCCGTTACAGTTACCGTTTAAAAAGGTGGTATTTAGAATACAGTTACTTTGTTGAAATAAATGGATTACACTGCGGTACTTTCCTGTTTCATATTGTGGCGGGTCAGGACTGTTTGGGTTTGTTTGACAGCTACGTTCTGTTGTTCCAGGCGGCAGCATTACGGTTACCATGGTTACAGGGTGACGCTCTCTGCGACTGTGTGTTTCCTGAGTGAGAAAGCACCTTTTTGTTGTTGTTGTTGTGCTAAGCTAATAGGCAGAATGCTACAGGCATTAGGTACAGGTAACTGTATTCTAAATACCACCTTTTTAAATGGTAACTGTAACGGAATACAGTTACTCATATTTTGTATTTTAAATAGGTAACGGCGGTACATATATTCCGTTACTCCCCAACACTGTATATTCATCACAAAGTATCTAGTGATTCTGTGAACTCATGGATGAATTATATTCATATTTTAGGAGTAGATGACACCCACTGGTGAAGACACTAGAGCTGTTCTGTTGTCTGGGAGGAAATATCCATCCACCTGGGGGGCGACCGTGGCTCAGGGGATTGGGAAGCTCATCTGTAACCGGAAGGTTGCTGGTTTGATCCCCCTGTTCTCTCTCTGCTGGCCGGCAAGACACTTTACCCTATCACCTACTGGTGTTGGCCAGAGGGGCCGATGGTGCGATATGGCAGCCTGGCTTCTGTCAGTCTGCCCCAGGGCAGCTGTGGCTACAACTGTAGTTTGCCTCCACCAGTGTGTGAATGTGAGAGTGAATGAATAGTGGAATTGTAAAGCGCTTTGAGGGCCCCGAAAAGCGCTATATAAATGCAATCCATTATCATTACTATTATTACCTAAAAATCTGCACCTACGGGATACCCTGATGTTTAACAAAACAGCTTCATCAATATTTCATTTCATGGAAAAGTTCAGGACACCATTTTTTCATTTGAGTGGATGGAACTCACATCCATCCATTTTATTTTCCTTAAACAAGGAAAGAATTCTGTGATCCTCCACTGTATCTTCTTTGCTCATTTTTTTTGTTACTCATCAACCTTTAGCTGCCCTTTGAAATTGTTTGTCAGCCAATCATCTAATTAAAATCACTGTGGTATTATAAAGAGGCAATACTACAAGAATCCAGTCTTTTTCTTTGATCTTTGTAACCTGAATTTGGTCTCAGCTTTATCTATTCTGAAATGTCAAGAGTGGGTTGATGGGAGTGATTAAAATGACTCTTTTGTCTTAATGGATTGCAATAATGGATTCATTTATATAGCGTCTTCTGCTCATATTCTTCTGTTTACTGAAACTATCCAAACACACACTCAGGGTGAACATACTCAGAGCCAGTTCTGATTAGCTATTTATTGACTCAGACATTTTGAAACAGGTCTGTGCTGTCACACAAATAGACCTCACCGA